AAAATTTAAAAAAAAAAAAAAGGAAACAAGGCCAGTTAGTTAAAAAAAAAAATCTTAGAATTATCAAAATGTCTACCTTGGTAAAGATATTTGAAATACTGCTTTATAATTATTCTAAATTCTCAAATAAAACACTAATCATATTAAACCATAACTCTTTGGGAGCACGGGAAAATATATATAAAAACAAGATGCTTCAAGAACAGCTTTTTGAAAGAAGAGACTAGGTCTTTTTATCTTTAGATCCTAAGTACCAGCTAATACAAAGCTTCAGTATCAAATGAATATTCGCTATTTTTGTGTAGTCTTACAGATTTAAACGATCAGGTCTTTGTTTTACAGCTTTTGGCTGATGCCATCATTTATGCTCAAAAAAATTGTTCTCGGAAACTTTTCATCTGGCCCAGTGGACCCTATGATGGCTGATGCTATTGATTTTATGGTGGACAGGGTAAGGATCATGGCATTGGAATGGGGACACCTTGTACTAGGAATTTTCATGTCTCCTTGGTTCCTGATGATATATCTGTCTCATTGAGTATGTATTAGAGATGTTTGTTAAGATGTTTCCATATTTACTTTAATATGCCCAACAGATGTTACTGCTGGTAAGTAATTCATCAGAATCACTTGGGGAGAGCTTTTAAAAATACAGATTCCAGGAACACCTGGCTGGCTCAGCTGGTAGAACGTATGACTCTTAATCTCGGGGTCATGAGTTCAAGCCCCACGTTGGGAGCAGAGCCTACATTAAAAAAAAAAATACGGATTCCAAGCCCTCACCAGCTCATTGAACTGGAATCCCTGGGCATTGGGTATGGGTATTCGTATTTTTACTCTACAGACTTCCCCCTCCTTCTCCCTGAGGGGAGTCTGAAGTAGCAGGTCTGCAGACTTCATTTAGGGGCAATGGGACTAGATGATTTTTTCGAGGTCTCTTTCAGCTCCAAAATCTCTTAAAATGTTGATCTGTCGCTGTGGGGCTTTGGGAAGTGGCTTGCTGCCCACAGGCACCTGGTTGAAGAGGCAGTTCAGGGTGAGGGCTATTGAATGCCCCAGAATAGAACAACGCCACCAGCTGGGAGGCCCAGTGCTAGGCTCTCAGATACATTGTATTTCCTCACTGGTGATCTGGCCCACCACACATGCCACTTTTATAAGTGCAGATATTATCTGTGGATTTAATATAAATGTGAGGCACAAAATGAATTCATGAACTTTGCCTTTGTTTTTTCCTGCAGCTGGAAAGTTTGGGTCAGAGTGAACTGGCTTCAAGACTTACCCTGAATTGTCAAAATTCTTACGTGGAACCTCATAAGATTCGGAACATCCCTGTGACCATTATGGATGTAAGCTTCCTTTTAAGTAAAATAGATGCTTTACCTTTTAAATGTATATTTCAAGAGCTTCCTCATAATTATTATAAAATTTTTCAGTGCGCCTCTTCAAATGCTGCCTTGGATTTTTTTTTTTTTTTTACAACCGCTCCCCCCCGCCCCGCCCAGCTTTTTCAGTTCTAAAACAATCAGTTTATTGCTTGTCCCATATTTTCCCTGGTAGGAATAACACCATTGAAATCAGAATAAACATAAACAAACATGGTAGTCCTCATCCATTTTGATGTATTTTGCTATTGTCATCACCAGAGATTGCACTTTAGCTATTACACATCTGTGCAGCAAAGAAAAGTTGCCTCACGGGGGGCAGAGAATCAAGAATTCCATAAAGTCTAATTAGCACAGAAGCTTGCTGCTTATATTTTTGAGTTGTGGTAAAATACACATAACGAAATTTACCATTTTAACCATATTTCAGTGTACAGCTCAGTGGCATGAAGTACATTTACAATGTTGTGAAACTGTCACCACCATCCATTTCCAGAACTTTCCATCATCCCAGCCTGAAACTCTGTACCCATTAAACACTAGCTCACCAGTCCCTCCTCCTCCCAGACCCTGGTGACCAACATTATACTTTCTGTCTCCATGTATTTGACTATTCTATGCACCTCATGTCAGTGGAATCCCATAATATTTGTACGTCTGTGTCTGGCTTATTTCACTTAGCAGAATGTCTTCAAAGTTTATTCATGTTGTAGCATGTATTAAAGGCTGACTGATATTCTGTTATAGTGCATACCACATTTTATTTATCCAGTCATCTGTTGATGGGCATTTGGGTTATTCCACCTTTTGGCTATTATGAATCATTCTGCTCTGAGTATTGGTGTACAGATACCTGTTTGAGTATCCACTTTCACTTCTTTTGGGTCCATACCTAGAAGGGAAATTGCCGAGCCATATGGTGATTCTGTGTTTGACTTTTTGCAGAACCAGATAGCATCTTCCACAGCAGCTGTACCATTTTACATTCCCACCAGCAGTGCCCGAGGGTTCCAGTCATTCCGTATCCTCCCCAACACTTGTTATTTCCTGTTTGTTGACAATGGCCATTCTAATGGATGCACAGTGGTATTTCATTGTGGTTTTGGCTTATTTTTTTAAATCATATAACTATTTTGCCTCATAAATGGATGTATTGCTAAAATCAACATATTTTTAAGAATTGATTTTTGTCAGGAAATTATCCATTATAAGCACATAAATAATAACTTCTCATCCTCCACTGTAATCTCTACATTTCGACATTTACCATGACACAGAACGAGCTTTTCAGTGCTCCTGGTAAAATATTTGGTCCTCACAGTGCATTTGCACTGCTTGCCCATCTTTCAAAGCTGAGCTCACCACTTGGGTACATGGTCACTGAAAACTGTGTATAAGCTTTAGCACGTTGGAGATGCTTTTTGTGTGTGTGTGCTTCGTTTTAAAAATTACTTTTTGTAAACTTGTTTGTATGTGTGCAAACATAAGTTTATGTGGGCATTAAAAGATGTCTAGAA